GTACAAGTATAATAATATAATTAATATTTTATATACCTATAAGCGAATATTGCATAGGGTTCAGCAAATTTACTAAATTAAATACTTAATGAGGGGCGATTTTGACTTGTTATACGAAGCTGTTGAATTTAATTTAAAACAATTCAAATAATATTTTGACAATAGTTAACAAAGTATTAAATAACTAATAAATGTATTTTTTAATCTTTTTATACTTGGAGAACGCAAAAAATGGCAAGGAACATTCACAGGGTTGGTGAGGATGGCAAACCACCTCACCACCCTGTTTTACTCTTTTCCGGATGATTCTACGATCTCGACTTCTCCCATTATTATTAATTTGGTTGCTAATTGACCTACTAAATCAGTGGGCGATAAGTGTAGCTTGCATTTTTAAATAAATAATTTAGATATAAGTACAAGATTTATACCAGTGACCTAAACAGGAAATTATGGATACCGTGTCACATTATACTAACATCTTTGTTTCTTCACTCCCATTATAAAATTCGAAAAATGTATTATGAAACACATTATCTATAAAAAATAAATTACTCACCTTGAAATGGTCGTCTGCATAAAATGAAAAAACTCCACCTGCTCCTATTCGTGGATCCACTTAATTAACACGACACATACCGAACCCTAAACATAGAAAAGAAAACCATTTTAATAGAATTTTAATTTAATAGCAATGCACCTATTCTACATTCTAGATATAAAGGATAACCTTCGCTTATCATGACTTTCAAATATATGACAACGACAATCTGTTACACGCTCTTCTTGTCGATAAGTTAAGAATTGTTGTATAATAAAAATTAATTTACTGAACGCATTCACACCTTTAAAATCGTTGCATAAAACTTAAACTAATCGACTGCATTTTCAGGTCATACTGTACTGCCTGACTACCCTGCATTGTCCAATTCAATTTACGGTGTATGGGATTTTTACAATTAACAAAAAGCTATGCATAAACGTAAGTAAAAATTAAAATGCCGAAATGATCATATATCTATCAGACAAGATCGATTATTACTTGTACTGTCGTTTTTTAAAATATAAATAAGTGCTGTGCTGTGCGCCTGAAAATATGCAAATTCGACTAAAATGTTTCCAAATATTACCATTATTAGTAAAGAAAATTGAAAATATATGGACCACCGATAACCAAAAAGTAGCCATTTTGTAATGGCTGCTTTTGTTTCTTGTGAAAATATATGTCTGTTATAATGTAATAATAAATTGTACCTCTTTGTAGGTTTTAGAAATTATAACATCGTACATAGTTGTTCTTATCAACTTTAAAGGTTTGGACCAACCAAAATTATTTGAAACAAAACAATTAAAACCAAACCACTAACCACTAGTCCACTGCCTATTCATTACGATACTGAATGAATGGTGAATGAGCGCATCTCACAATCTGTTTCCCATAGAAGTAAATTCAAAACCAGTATATTTATCTGTGATTATAAGGAGAATAATAAAAATAATGCAATACCATAGATTAGCTAAATGTCTCTAAATGCTTTAACCTATAAATATTTTGATTTTTAAACTTTCTGTTTTTATATAATGTTATAAAAATTGTCCAAGTTGCAGAAGATATTCTTAATTAATTAACTTAGTAACGTACAAAATGACAATTGTTAGTGTTTTAAGGCTAAGTGTAATCAAGAAGAATATCATAACCTCCAACGTAATACATAAGGTGATAATTTATTTTTATTATAAAAACGAATTTATGACACAATTTTATAGCTTCAGAAATGCATGTGCTCTCAAGCAAATGTGGATCATAAACCCCTAGAAAAAATTCGAAATATTGGAATATCTGCACATATTGATTCTGGTAAAACTACCCTTACAGAACGTATCCTCTTTTACACTGGTCGAATCGAGGAAATGCATGAAGTGAAAGGTAAAGATAATGTGGGGGCTGTTATGGATTCTATGGAACTTGAAAGACAACGAGGTATAACAATTCAATCGGCTGCAACATATACCATTTGGAAAGAACACAATATAAATATAATAGACACTCCGGGGCATGTTGACTTTACTGTTGAGGTAGAGAGAGCGTTAAGGGTGTTAGATGGAGCCGTTTTAGTTCTCTGTGCAGTCGGAGGAGTTCAAAGTCAAACACTGACTGTAAATCGTCAAATGAAGCGTTATAATGTTCCCTGTTTGGCATTTATAAATAAGTTAGACAGATTAGGTGCAAACCCAAAACGTGTGGTATCACAATTGAGGTCAAAAATGAATCATAATGCAGCATTTTTACAACTTCCCATTGGATTAGAGAGAGAAAACAAAGGAGTAGTAGATTTAATTTCACAAAAAGCGATTTACTTTCAGGGAGACTTTGGTGAAAGTTTATTTTATGATGAAATACCAAATCATATGCGAACAGAGTGTGCAGATTATAGACATGAATTAATAGAAAATCTATCAAATGTGGATGATACTTTGGCTGATTTATTTTTAGAGGAAAAATCAATTTCTGAAGGTGATATTAAAAATGCTATAAGACGTACATGTATTAAACGTACTTTCACACCAGTACTAGTAGGAACAGCGTTAAAAAATAGGGGTGTTCAACCCTTATTGGATGCAGTTTTAGATTATTTACCAAATCCAGGGGAAGTTGAAAATTTTGCACTTAAAGAAAAAGAAGGACAAGAACCACAAAAAGTTATTCTAAACCCAGCACGTGATGATTCTTACCCTTTTGTCGCACTCGCTTTTAAATTAGAAGCTGGTCGATTTGGTCAGTTAACATATATGCGTTGTTATCAGGGAGTACTTAAGAAAGGTGACAATTTGTATAACGTAAGGACAATGCGAAAAGTTAGAATAGCACGACTAGTTCGGATGCATTCTAATAATATGGAAGATGTAAATGAAGTTTTTTCTGGCGACATTTTCGCCCTGTTTGGCGTTGATTGTGCCAGCGGTGACACATTTGTTACCGATAAAAATTTACAGCTCGCAATGGAATCCATATTTGTTCCTGAACCTGTTGTTTCAATGTCTATTGTCCCAGCAAATAATAAAGATCGAGATAATTTCTCAAAAGCTGTAGCCCGATTTACCAAGGAAGATCCTACTTTTCATTTCTACTATGATTCTGACAATAAAGAAACAATTGTATCTGGAATGGGGGAGCTACACCTGGAAATTTATGCACAGAGAATGGAACGGGAATACAATTGTCCCGTTATTCTTGGAAAACCAAAAGTTTCCTTCCGAGAAACTTTAATACAGCCCTGTCCGTTTGATTATCTTCATAAAAAACAATCAGGCGGTCAAGGGCAATATGCAAGAGTTACAGGAATTTTGGAACCATTACCTCCAAATAAGAATACATCTTTAGAATTTGTTGATGAAACTGTAGGAACAAATGTACCTAAACAATTTATACCAGGTATTAAAAAGGGCTTCCTTGCCATGGCCGAAAAAGGACTTCTAACGGGTCATAAACTAACCGGGCTGAAGTTTAGACTACAAGATGGTATGCATCATATTGTAGATTCAAGTGAATTAGCCTTCTTTTTAGCAACTCAAGGAGCAATTAGAGAAGGTGAGACTCATCACATAATAATTAGTTATCTTAGAAAGGTTTGGGTGATCTGCCCATGTAACTGCAAATCCCCATATTTTTGGCACAAACTATTATCTCCATAAATATACCGAAAGCTACAGTGATTTACGAGTAATAAAAAACACATTTTTTCTAAATTAATGAAATAGACAGCAGTTAATAAATTTAAACATTGATTTGAAAAAAATAAATGCTCTTAATCATTTCATCACATTAAAAAAAATCAAAATTAATTTTTTTAGTATTAATATGGTCAGTAAAAGTCTCATGCAGATATTCCAGAACTTACTATTGTAAGTGGAATACCTGCACACGCGTTTAATTTTGTCTAACGTGAAGTTTTTTCCTTAAATGCTTCCGGTGCAATATAATCCTTTTTAAATTTTTTCAATTTGCGATTAAAAAAATATTTCAAAAATGACGCATTAATTTTACTTTCATTTTAGTTTTTGAAGATGGAATTTGGCAAGTATTGGAACCAGTAATGTCGGTGGAAGTAACAGTTCCAGATGAATTCCAAGGGGCAGTTATGGTGCAACTTAATAAAAGACACGGTATTATTACTGGTACTGAAGGAACCGAAGGTTGGTTTACAGTACATGCTGAAGTACCACTTAACGATATGTTTGGTTATGCTGGAGAACTAAGATCAAGTACCCAAGGAAAAGGAGAATTTAGTATGGAATACAGCAGGTATTCTCCATGTTTGCCAGAGACCCAAGAGAAACTGATAACTGAGTACCAGAGATCAATGGGAATTTTACCAAATAAAGAGAAAAAGAAAAATTAATATTGTAATATTATTAGGCGAATTAAATTAAATGCAGTTTTTTACTGCTTACATAAATGTATGCATTAAGCGACATAATGTAGATGTAAATATTTGTACTAAGTGATTCTTTTGAATAAAATACTATTCAAGTACTCATATATACTATGATCACATGTTTATTTAAAAGAACAAAAAACAGTGAACACTACCTGTAAAAATTTGCTGCATATTGTGGGATTAAATATGAAACTGAAACCACACAGTTGCTATCTACGCAAACATATAGAACAAAATGCTTTTGGGCAGTATACTGACAGAACTGTCAAGCGTAGATTTTGAACTCTGGTTCTCATCAGCACTCCGTAAACAGCTTAACAGAACATCGACCAATCTACCTGTTTAACTGAGGTGGGTTGGTCGATGTTGTGTTAGGGCTATCTTGTGACGTGATGAGAATGAATAAAAACTTAGAAGCTTACTTTTTAAATGCCATAGTGTAAGAATTCACAAATATTTTTTGTTAATTGTGGTTCTATGTAAATTTAATTGTATTTCATGGTCATACAAAACTTTATTATATTCGTAATTGACTAGATACATAAATTTACAATATCTTTTAAAAATACACAGCATTCACGCTTATCTGGAAGAGATCTAAACCTTTGTATTGTGAAAATAAATGGAAGTTTTGCTTTGTTTATATTAAAATAAATATAAATCGCATTTATTAATCACATAACATAATTTAAATATTAATGTAATTGTAAGTACAGAAGATTTTAGAATTGCAGCAGTATATATGAGATTCTAAATAGGCCATTCATTAGGTAATTATGTATTTACTGAAACCACTAAAGGTAATATCAGAAAAATACAACTATATGCAGAAAACATTAATTCAAGAATATATGGCCTTCTACATTTACCTTATATTAACGGTAAATGAAAATAGCCGTAGTAGAATGAAATGAAAGTATTATAATGGCATTTAATAGTGAACAAACGGATAAAAGCACCATATTAAACTTATATCAGTAAGGTACTTAGCGATAGGTTTTCTAATATTAAAAGAATATAATGTATGTCGCGTTTTGGAGCAATGAAACAAGTGATGTGCATAAGCAATGGTTTTAAAGAATTCAGAGATCAATTTTCCTTAACGACAATTTTTTACCTCTGGATACATTATTTTGTTTTTAAATACACTTTAAATGACCAAATCCTATTTCACAACAAACTTATTTTCAAACGTTTCTCTAACTCAGGGTTAGTTGCAATCCTTAATATGTAGAAATTTTGAAGAAAAAAACGAAGTTATTAGAATAATTACACATACGTATGTAATTTTCTCTAAACATTATTAAAATATTAATATAACGCCTCATTTACGTGGGCATCGTTATAATGGAAATTTTATTCTTTGGCACTCACAAATAAATAATGACTTCAACTTATGAAAATTCTAAACTACAATATAAAAAATTATTATTCCTTTTGGATCTCAGTATTGTTTATCGGTTTATTTTAACTGTTAAAGGAAAGAAAAGCTATCGTCGACATATACCAGTAAACATAGACAAAACTAACGGAAATTGACTTTTGAAATAGTATTTTGTCATGGTTTGCTATCGTTTTCGTATTAATGGCAGTGATCAATGTTTTAACACAAATACGAAAAACAAATATTAAGATCCAAAATAGTTTATCTTCAAAACAAAACTATTGAAAATAAAATTTTAAAAGTGATATGTGAATTATTAAAATACAACGATCGATTACGATCATTCAAAACTGAAAATGCCTCTCTTATAAATTATTATTAATATAATCACAGAAATTAAACCAGTACAAAAAATAATAACTAAAATTTAGCTATAGATGTAACTATTGCTACTGCTAACTTACTTAAAATAATTTGATTTGAAATTAATATTACAGCCCTTTTTAACTTATAATGTAACTTTTGTTTTCCACGAACTTTTCTGTACTTACTACAGCTATGTCTGCATTTTGATTTTGTTTGTACATGTTATTTTTTTATGTTTAAGATATTTCGTTGCAAGCTTTTAATGTTTCCGATGGTTTTAACATTTAATTTTGTAGTTTTACGTGTAACTACAAAATGTTTTTTACACCGATATTTTACTTATTTTCAAAATTAACTGCAGGCACAATCACATACTCTTTAGGAAATATCGTTGGATTCCCGTAATTTTTAGTAATTTAACTTTTTATAATAAATAATTATTAACGTGTATTAACCTGTTCCGATTCGAATTGCATGAAAGTTTACGATAAAAAACATTAAAAAATCCTATAAGGAAACCCAGATATTTTTAAAGTAGTAAGACGTTAACTTACGATGAGCGAAATTCAAGAGATCAAGGTATTATATGTATAGAGTACATTAAAATGGTGATGTCATAAGAGCATAGTACTCCAACGATATAACACTAAAATAAATCCTTACCTATGGGGATAGCAAATTGGTCAAGCATTTTGAATGTCCACTTAATTGACTATACCTTTCGGATTATTATGAAATCTCAAGAGCTCTGTCACCGTGACAGCCACTTGAACTAATCCACGACCTTCCAGAACATCCGAAGCACAACACACTAAATTCTGTAAAACAAAAATAAATTTATTAAAAAATTACTAAAACTGCTGAAAAATGAAATTTTAATGGCGTAAGAGACTTTCAATTTAAATTATTCTCAAATTTGGAAAACCCTTTACAAAACATTTGTGGTTGGTAAAAGGCTGGAGGATAGTAAGAAAGGGTCTCTTCTAGCCCCTGTTAAAATCGTAGGAATGGGTGAGTGATGGTTGGGTAGAGGAAGATGACATGGACAAAATAAAGATATATGAGAAATAAAAAAATATCGTTGTATATCCTGAACGATGCAAGGAAATCACAGGAAAAAGAGTAGCTAAGTTTTAATTAATTTTCAATAACAGATTATTTAATTATTATTTTTTTTTGCCAGACTAAAGTTTGAACCAAGGGCTTACAGTAAAGAAACAGTTCATTGCAATTAAGAACAAAATAAAGCAAACCCTGTATAACAAATTTATTGGCTCCTCTAAATACTGATATATGATACTCTTGGAAGAATATGCGATAAATATTCAATATAAATACTCGTTATAGTAACAATATTAAGCAAGGCAACGTAAACACAGCAAGCATTAATACATGAGATACATTTTTTAAAGTATTCGCTCAAATTAAAGCACCTTTTCATCTCAATAAACTTATTAATTGTATTATATGTATAGGTATAAAAAAGGATTTTAAGAAATTAAATGGAAATCAATGTATAAGTCCATTAAACTTTGATTGTTATGCTGATTCACTTTTTTGGTTCAAAACTTATACATATGTTTCCATTAATACATGTAAAAGCAACATTTTTGTATTAATTCTAAAAAATAGGAAAAGTATCTGAAATATATTATAAAAGTATACATCGTATATTTGGCTTTTTTGCTTTGTGCTTACAGAAAAATGCCAAACAGAAACGTCTTCATTAGGTAATACTGATTGAAGTGACCANTTTGGGCTTCCAAAAGCGGAATTTAGAGGAGTCGGATCTGATTTTGAAGTGGCCAATGTCGAAGAGGTATGATGGGTAGGAGTGCTTGGTTCTGTTTTGTAACTTTGATCGTCTGAATCCCTGGTTCTATAGACAGATGGCACATCCTGCGCTCGTTGTTGACGTAAAGCTTCCTTATATTCCCTTTAAATTTCAGTAACAGTTAAAAGTTGAAATTTGAAAATTTAAGACCCAAATTTTAATAATTTACAGTTTTTAACTTTCCAAAATAGTTTGAGAAGTATAACATACGTCATTTAAAATTTTAAGAATTCTATTACTTAGGGAACATAAAACAAGAAACATAAATATTTACCTGTATGTTTGGATACCTTGAAGTGGTTTCGACTTATCTTCGCTAAAATTATAAAAAAAAAACTAAAGTTCAGTTTTAATTTTAACTATAATAGGTACTTCAAAGTATATTAAATGATAACTAATGTATGAATGTAATAAACACTACGATTATAGTAATTGTAAATTGTTAAATCAAGACCTTTAAAATGCTAACAACTCATTATTCATAAAACAAAACAAAACAAAAATTAAGTAACCATCAAAAATTCACAACCAACCGAATAAAAATACTGAATGATAAATTCCTCTTTTAACTATTGCAGTCAGAATTTGGAAATGCAGTTTTTAAAAGAAAAATAGTATTAAAAAAGTATTATAACAAATTTCAAAATATAGTATTATTACTTATAAAAATAATCTCTTTAAAGAAATACTATTATGAACTAATAAATGCAACCTGATATGTGTTAGTAAAGATTGAAGATTCACAACCAATCAAAAAATAAAAAAACATATATATATATAAACTAACAAGTCTATTAAAAAGCCAATATGTACTATTTTAAAAATGTAAAAACTTGTGGACCTTTTAGGACCAGTTCTTGAATGGTAAGTGTAGGTACATATTCTATGGTTTCAGTTGCTATTGTTTTAAGATACTCTACTTAGCTTTTGGATTTATTAAAACGACAAGTTACGAATTTACTTATTCTAGATTAGAATATATAGTAGATGTAGCACCTTTTCTTGTAGTAATTTCAAATATAATCCAACCATATACTATTAATACAACACTACTATCAAAACTGTTAAACATTCATCAAATATGTTGGCATTATATTAGGTGTCCAGAAACCATAGAGATTACTACGTGAGAAGTGGCGCCAACTAGCCAACTAAGCTAATTTTTTAATCGAAATTTTAAAAAAAGGCAAGTGTCAAATCCCACAACAACACTGGACTTTTTGATTCGAATGTATTCTCTATCCAGTGCTTAATATTTATTCAATGTTTTCTGGACATTTAGTATACTGATTACTGAAAAACAATTTTTATTATGTTCAAACCAACAAAATATTTTACTTTATGCAAACTGAAAATTTCAATAGAAAATTAAATGATTAGGTACTGAAGTTAATCTCCATGTTATAACTGCATTAGCAACACTGAAACATTGTTTTATGTATAAGTAATTATACTTACTAAGATTCAAAACAAGTAACCACAAAAGTTCGTATTCTACTCACATTTCTGAATAAATAATAATTATACAATATCAAACAACTGTTAAAAAACTTTTACTGCAACATGTAAAATATTTTGTCGTTTTTTGTTTTTCAGCTATTAATATAAACAACAGACTACCAAAACTTCTTATAAAAGAAAATCAGATAAAACATATTATTAAAATGGAATAAGTTGGAATGTTTCTATGAACCATATCGAATCACCAAATGGATTTCCTTTCATTTAACTCGGGGGCGGAAACAATGCGAGTAAGATGACGGTAGATACGAAGATGGAAAGCAGCAAGAGTGAGACTAGGTTGTTGTGGGGGCCTGGCTCAATAGTTTCAGACACTTGCATCACAGCGCCATCATCCATTTGACAGAGCGCCTCCACGGTGTCGAGTAACCGCGGCAATCCACGTCCTGACAGTGCTTCCGTAACATCAATGCAGTTGCACAGGCGCCCCTGCAACCAACCCACAGTCTCACTCTGCTGTACAACATATTAAAAATACGCCTTATAAATAGAAAAACCACTAACACACATACATTTCTGAGTAATATAATAACTTTTTTGCTCTATATGGGTCACTTCTTTTCAATAAATGAAATATTAATTGACTGTACCTAATCATTCAAACGCAAAATTTACAGCATTCGACAAATAATTTTGCCTCTTATTAACACCACAACAAGCTATATATAAACAAACTCATATTAAAATTAACACGAAGCATAACACAGCAAAACGATCTATGTACAATATACCGCCTATATAATAATATTTCCTGTTACATTTTATAACTTCCTACTTCGTGTTTATATTTCATAGTAATATTTTGCCGTTACTGATTTAAATGTTCCGTCTATTCTTTAATGCAAAAATTATTTATAAAATCACTCCATGCAACACATACTCACGCAATATAGAAAAATAGGAACACAGCATATAATATTACATACATATAAGTATGTAAATAAAAAGTAAACTACCGAGTGTTTACAAATATGTTTTAAAAAAATAAAAATTAATTAGAGGAGCCATTTTATATGATAAAATATTGAAGGTAAATAAATTTCAGCTAACTTACCTCATCAACTCCAATTTTTCGACAAGCTTCTATAAAATTGTCCACGTTTCTTCTGCACCGTGCCATGGTCAATTTAGGCTAAAGATAAAAAGAATTGAGTCCATTAATTTAATCGTTGGTATTATTTAATGTACTTACAACTGCTGGCGAAGGAACATGGATGCTAGCCACAGAACGAGGTCGGATATGATTGGCCAAATGACACAAAACAACACCGTCTGTCAAAGCAGACGATAGATCTTCAGGCAGAGACATTTTCAGTTTAGTTTCTATTATCTATAAAAAGTAAAAACAAATAAAAAACATCGATAATATTCAACGTCCACGTGATTGATGTTTTCAATAAAATAACGGAGAAAAAATATTTATTGAAAGTTAATAAACCAAGAGAAGTAATACTTTGATACAAAAATTATACCCTAGCTAATTACTTTTGAAAAATTGCAAACTGTATGCTGTATCAATTACAAATTAAAAATACTGATAAAAACTAGTAAAATACATCATCAGAAATAATAACAACTCACCTTTCTCAAATGCTTAATCATTTCCGTTTCCTCTTTGGCCTTGTCAATTTCGCGTCTCATGGTAAAGCTAATTTTATCAGTACCATTTTGGCCCCAACTTTTTGTAACACCACCACGTACACCATTCGGTGGTGTTTTATTAGCACCCCCATTGAAATAACTTATGGTATTCGCGATTCGCGCTTTCCCATTTACCATTGGTACATTTTGATTACTGACATTGGTACCCGGTGGTACGTTATCATACGATAAAATGCCCGTTGAATTTTTCAATGGTGAAAATTTTGGCTTTACATAATCCTGCATATTTTTCACATTCCCACCATTTTTTAAGGAATCCGCATTATTAGTAGTTCCTAAGTCTATGGCAGACGGAGACACACATTTAGGGTGGTTATTAGTAGAGGGCGATACTTTCAAAACAGGTTTCTTTGAAACGGATGTGTCGTCGAATATGTGTTTTGGGCTTCCAAAAGCGGAATTTAGAGGAGTCGGATCTGATTTTGAAGTGGCCAATGTCGAAGAGGTATGATGGGTAGGAGTGCTTGGTTCTGTTTTGTAACTTTGATCGTCTGAATCCCTGGTTCTATAGACAGATGGCACATCCTGCGCTCGTTGTTGACGTAAAGCTTCCTTATATTCCCTTTAAATTTCAGTAACAGTTAAAAGTTGAAATTTGAAAATTTAAGACCCAAATTTTAATAATTTACAGTTTTTAACTTTCCAAAATAGTTTGAGAAGTATAACATACGTCATTTAAAATTTTAAGAATTCTATTACTTAGGGAACATAAAACAAGAAACATAAATATTTACCTGTATGTTTGGATACCTTGAAGTGGTTTCGACTTATCTTCGCTTCCAATGGTTGGATCGGAACATGGATTTAAACGTGCACTAAAAAAAACCAAACCACGCAAGGGTTAGTGACATAAATTAGTTTTATTCACCTGACTGTTGTTTCAGTTTAGTAAATTAAAATTTGATTTTTATCTAGAAAACAAATTACATTATCTACAATACAGACATGCATACACTAACAAAGTTATACTGTCCTAAAAACTATCTACTTAAAAAAAAAAAAGAGTGAAAATAAATACCATTTATTCGATTTGAAAATAATATAAAGAAGTATTGTATATCACAAGCAACAATAGAAAAATATAAGATCTTCAACAATAAAATTAGTTACATGCAAAAGTAATGAGAATATAAAAGCTTTACATTAATTAATCATAAAATGGATTCATTGTGAATTTTTGCGTTTAGGGAGATTCATAACACTATACTTTTTGATCGAAATCCAACTTAAAAAAATTGCAGTTTTATTTATTTACATTAAAAACGAAAGAAAATATTGTATGTAGTTACTAAAGATCAAATAAACAATAAATATCCATAGCATATTGCTAAAAGTCTTGTTGATAGTCTCTATATTCCTACAAAAAATTCATGTAAGTAAACTAAAGCGGTAAATTCATTATGTTTTCTTTGGTATTTTAATGAGATATAAAGTAATGTGTATAAAATTTCATTTCACAAAAGGAATGTTTATACACTATATAGCTATGTATAATAATAAACCATGTACACTACTGCATCAATAAAAAGAATTATTATTAGTCAAAGTAAATACTGTGCAGTTCGTTGTAATATGCTAATAAAATGCATATTATACAAAATAATTAACTACTCGCACTACTCATCGCAAATTCGGTAAACTACAAACACAAACCTGTTGGTTTCTGTCACAGCCTTATCCTCTTTTTTGTCTAATTCGCTAAATATTGATCTCGTTGAAGGTTCGTTCTCTAACGTATTGTCTAACACTGGGGATATAGTCGAAGGCGTTGAGGTAACGGAATTGACACCATTTACATCAATACTTCGGACAGAAATTGGTGATGATATCCAATTCTTATCAGATTCGCCTAATAAATCGTTAAATTCGATAAAAATTTCTCTCAAGGTGACGAAAAATGTACTTTTAAACTCCGACGCAAAAATAAGGAATGTTTGAAGCTTTGAGTAAAAACATTTTTAAAAATTAACTTAATTATGACTATAGACTATCATCTATGATTACAACTTTCAGATTTGGCCTCAATGATTTTGTAAGTTAGCTTTTTGTGTCGGAGTCTTAATTTTTTTTAAATATTAAGCTTATTACCAATAATTTCCTGCGACCATCTCTTATCCAGTCCATCACTAGTACTGTATCCGCTATCTACGTTATGCCTCTTTGGTTTCAGTCGTTCGGTTAAGTTATTCGTTGGCCCTAAAGTTCCTGTTGCTTTCCGGGGTCGCCTACCTAACGTACTACAGCTTAGCCCTGTTTTCCTATCTAATTTTACAGCTTCCGTTTCAAGATACTTGAAAATATGCACACGTCCTCGCCTACACAACTGCAACATAGATTACTAATGAAATAAAGATTACAACGTAATTTCCTATAAAAAAATATAAAAACATCAACTAAATAAATTAAGCATTTAAGAAAGGGTATTATATTTCTTGATCTCAGTAACCACTTCAAGACAAAAAGTATTATTTTTAAGGATCACTGTTTGTGATAAATGCCACACGTTGTGTGTTGCTTTGGGGGGTAAGACTTCATCAATAATTTTTAAAAGACCTTGTGAAACGTTGGTATTTGACCTATCTAATAATATAAATAAAAGTAAAACAAAAATACCGGTATGCAAGAGAAGAAAAAGTAGGGAAAGAGCAAATATAAAGATTAGAAGAACTGGCTGATTTTAGGTATCTAGGAAGTCAGATAAGTAAGGACGGAAGGAGTAGCAAGAATATAAAGCAGAGGATAGCGCAGGGTCGAGCCGCCTTCAATGAAAAGAAGTCACTTCTATGCTCGCGAATGATTAATTTAGAAAAAGACTGTTAAAGGTGTATGTTTGGAGCGCGGCTCTGTACGGGTGCTAAACATGGACGGTGGGAACGATGGAAAAGAAAAGGTTAGAAATGTTCGAAATGTGGTGTTACCGGCAAATGATGAGGATACCGTGGATAGAGAAGGTTAGAAATGAAGAGACATTAGAAAGAATAGGAGAATAGAGGACTCCATGGAAGTCAATAAGAAATAGGCGAGATGGGTTGGTAGGACACCTTCTCAGGTATGAAGGTCTTGTCAAAGACATATTAGAGGCAGAAACGGAAGTTAGGAGGGGTAGAGGTAGTCCTAGATAAGATTACTGTTCACAAATAGTTAAGGATGTAGGTTGTTCTAGTTTTGTGGAATTGCAAATATTAACTCAAGATTGGAAAAAGCAGAGGTGGGTGTCCAACTCGTCTTAGGATTGACGACCTTATGATGATGAAGGGTACAATACCTACGTGGGTAGTCTCAAAAAATGGCTTTTACAGAATTTGCAGTGAACTGTGGTTATTTATGAACCTAACTGATACAGTTAATCGTTACACTTTATTAAACTCTGAACACACTTGTAATGTGAATGAGTCAGCTCTAATTCAGAAAAGTTCAAGGGTTCAATGCGAGAGATAAATATAATTTCGGGCCATTTATTAATCTACAAAACAAACGCTAAAAGTATCGTTTAATAAACACTTACGCTTGCCGGCGGACTGGTGAGGGGATTATCCTCGACCGATAAGTCTATTAATGCGACCATATTCAACATTTCGACTGGGAGCGTCCCGATTCTATTGGCCCGTAGGTCCAGCCTTACGAGGTTCAAATAGGTTATTTCTAATGGTACGCAGAGAAGGTAATTGTTGTGAAGAACGAAAGACTTTAGAGAACGAAGTTCTCCCATCCGTGGAGGTAGATGCGTAAGCTGGTTACAAGACGCGTCCAATTCCGTCAGCTGCGACATACGATGAATTTCATCTGGCAAACAAGTCAAACGATTGTTGGACACCAGGAGAATCTGAAACAATTATTGAAAATAGATTTAAGAGAAATTGGTCTAAACTTTAATATTGATTCAAATACAAAGCACATAGTGCTACGAAGTGTCTTCTTTGGATATCGAGAAGCATTTCTTTTAGCAGAAAAAAAGTACACCGTGGCTAAGACAAATCTGATTACAGATTTTTTGTAGAGACCTTAGAATATTAATATTTATTAATAGTACAGAAGAACCAAGGATGGGCCACACCGTTGCAGTTTTTAACTTACACTTAACCCAAGTCGTATTTATTATCGTTTGTGATGACTTAGGGAGGAATTTCAACGATTTTCATCTCAATATTTGATTTTAAAGTTCAAGGGCGGGCTGAAAGGTTCGTAGGCTGACCCATATATGGTTCTACTAGTATCAAATCCATACGATTTTTAGTTAGCCCTGACCTTCAAAAGACACGTGTATAAATTTGACAGCTGTTGCACTATTAGCATCTGAGTTATAGCATTTTTAGTGAAAGAACTTTTGTTGTTTGAAAAAGAAAGTGCTGTTTCATCAAATCGATGAAATCGATGGCAAAATACCATGAATTGGGCTTCGAATTACTTCCGCATCCACCCTATTCTCCAGTTCTGGCCCCCAGCAATTTTTTTCTGTTCTTAGACCTCAAGAGGATGCTCGCTGGACAGAAATTTCGCGCCGATGAATAGGTAATCGCCGAAATTGAAGTCTATTTTGAGGCTAAAGACAAATTGTATTATAAAAATGGTATCGAAAAATTGTATGACCGCTATAATCGTTGTATCGCCTTCGAAGGAAACTATATTGAATAATAAAATCAAATTCTATCAAAAAAAAATAATTTTTTCTATGCTAGCCTACGAACTTTTCAGCCCGCCTGTTACCTAACATCAAATTTGGTTAAAAATCCGTTTCGACTTGATTATTATTCTTGATCAATCTTTGATAAATTTCAACATATGTTAAAATTACTGTCATGAACCATATGGAATTTCCTTAAAAAAATAATTTATAAAAACAAAAAGATACCAATGAAAAAAGTTTTACTTTGAATTTTTAAATAACAGAGACAAAACAACAACACTAACAACAAAGCATAACATATGTGAATTTTTTTCAATGGTACTTGTACTTATGTTACAGTTACCAGTATTATTTTACATAATACAACACCTTCTATGTTACATACCCTTGGCCTTAAGACAAAAAGGATTACTTTTATGCGTTTTAAATGTTTCGTAGAAAAGATAGATTTCAAAACATAAATCGACAAGACATACAAAAAACAAGTAAACATGTAATATTTCATTTTCGAGTTAACTCCTTAATTGCGTTTCACCATTAGCTGTATTTGTGGACACGAAAAAGACCTTGCAGCTCATAACAATTGCATGTTTCATTTCCTTTGACAATACCAATGTTCGTAAAATTTCGTTCAACGAACTTTCCGTTTAATGACCTAAACCATAGCCAAAATCGTAAGACTACTGATTAAAGAAACAATAAAAAACTAGGTACGACTTCTTAATTAATAAAATACGGTAGAAACTCCTCAAAATTTCACCGTCTTTCTCTTAAAGAATCATATCAAAGTAGTTTAGGGATGATAGATACTAATTTTAAACCGTTCGGGGATTTTCGGCAGAAAATTTTTGGACACGTTTAAAAAAAAAGAAGTTACTGAAGTTGTGCTTACGAACGCTTAATTTGGAAATTTTAAAAGGATTGTTAAAAGTGTTTGTTGGGAGGACACACGGTTCTATACGGGTGCCAAACGTGGACGGTGGGAGTGAAAAAAAAACCTTTTGAGATGTGGTGTTATATGTAAAAGGATGGTGAAACAACAGATCAAAGCGCAGTGTGGAAGTTAAAGAAAAAAAGGAGCAGGACCTCTTCTGAAACATGAAAGGCTAGTAAGAGACATACTAGGAAAAGAAAGAACCAGTTAGAGGAACACTTAGATTAGATTACGTATTGTTAGTAACTGTTATACCTTCTATTTCGTTTTGAGATATCGATAACATTACTTTAATATAACGAGTTCTTTTTTTAATTCATTCTTTATATTTGTGCAAGCTTAATCTCGGCAGTGTCCCCAAGTTTATGAAACACACAAAATGTTTTGTATGGAAATGGAATTGCGCACTTCACAGTTCCAGACGAAAGCAATATTATGGTGCTAATCCTGGTGTACTGTTGGAACAAGTATTGAAATGGTCAGGACCTCTAGATTACGTACATCATAACGTAGCATTAGAAAGGGTTTAGCTTGCCCTGGTCTAAGTTTTCCTGTGATTACCTTAGATCGATCATTTAGGATTTAGGCAAATGATGAGGCAATAATATTCCACCTGTTTTCTATTTTACCTTCACTCCGTCTGACCCATCTAAATTGGGTCCTATGCTGCACAATAGCTCCCTTCTCAATTTATAATTTTTTTTTAATAAACTAGTACAAATTTCATAGTCATCAATTTATACATATACACTGTATATATATCTGCGCTATTACTTCCATTTCTAATTTTAGATATTGTTGAACACTTTGTAAACCGCATACACTGTAGGATACATTTATTTCAACACAGACTCATTCAAAAATAATTCGCTTTATAATTCAAAGCCTCGTAAAATGTTTACGTAATGAAAACAACGCTTCTACACCGGAAATTCAAGGTTTTGTCCTTATTCAAACATATAGCAATTACCGAGTTCCTTGACACTTATTAGCGTTTATAAAAAAAAAAGAATAAAAATACATCGTTTAAAACAACTAACGATAGATACGTAGATTTTTAGGATGATTCACAATTTTTTTCACGTCTAGCCATTGGCATAAAGTGACATAAGTAATACTGACTATTATAAATGGCATTTTTAAACAATGCGTTTGTTTAAAATTACCTTTTGCCTACAACTTTGTATGCGCAGATTAGTAGTACACCAAAATTTATAGCACATAACAAAGTTAAATACAACTTGGATTTAAACTACATTGTGTACATTATTTGTAGCAAAATTGGCACAAAAACCTACAAAAATGAAACTTGATTTCACAGAAATATTTTTTTTCTTAAATAACTATAATATTACTTTCATTAAACACTTCAAAAAATAGAATAAGACCTTTTTAGAATAATACCTAGTTACTAACTTAGCCAAATATAGAGGATGGTTAATTATTATCGATGGTGAACGGCACATTTTAATTCTAGCGAAATTTTCAATAAAATTTTATGACCTAGAACATGACATTAGAATGTATGTATATGAAACCAATTGTACACCTCAATTTAAAACCGTCCACTTCTTCGCAATTACTTTTCCAACTTGAATAGATGAGAACTGGCGATTTTTAATTAAAGATTTTGTTTAAACAAAAACATCCTGGATATTAAAAGCAGTAGCCCTCAGAAACTATCTACATATGTTTTAATAAGATGTATGCTCCAGCATAAGTTGTACTATCAGCTATCCTACTGATACTGATTTTGTTTACAGGGCAAAAATGCTTTTTTATCGTTTTCATTCGTTATATTTTCAAATTTCAGCAATTGAAAATTCAAAGGTTTTGTGGCCCTCAAAAATTAAATTATAAATTCAGCCGGTTTATACTCATTGTCAATAAACAAACAAAAAGTGCTGAACATGATTAGATTGTTATTACAAACTTTCTTATAATACAATTTTATAACAACAATATCATGCGACAGGGGGTAGGGGTAGGTGGTCTCTTAATTAGTTAATTTATTATTGACAACGGAAAAATTAATATTTTAGATTATCTGAAAGTATTAGCATTACATTCCTACTGCAAAGGCTTTTCAAATGTATAAACAAAATTAGTGCATCATTACATGTTAATATACCCCTACCTAAAGAAACTTATACTTTCTCTGATAATGTTTTGTTGTATTGTAGTTTAATAATTCTGAATAATGAGGATACTGTGGATAGAGGTCAAAAATGAAGAGGTATTAGAAGGAATAGGAGAACAGAGGACTCTATGGAAGTCAATAAGAAATAGGCGAGATAGGTTGGTAGGACACCTTCTTAGGCATGAAGGTCTAGTCAGAGACATATTAGAGGCAGAAACAGAAGTGAGGAGGGGTAGAGGTAGTCCTAGATTAGATTACTGTTCGCAAATAGTTAAGGATGTGGGCTGTTCTTGCTTTAGGGAAATGCGAAGATTAGCTTAGGATAGGAAAGAGTGAAGGTGCGTGTCCAACCAGTCTTAGGACTGACGACCTTATGATGATGATGATGATAAATATTTATTTTACTTCAATAACTAAGTTACTAAGTAAGTGTTCTCTTTAATAAACGTGTAAAAGTAATTTTTTCGGCCGAATTTACATTTTTAGTTGATGAATTCTTTTGCCTTTTTATTTAACGCAAACATTCCAAAACTCATTGAATTCTATTAATTATAGTCACAAGTAAGTCCGCACTAAATTTTACCAGCTGTTCGTTTTAAATAAGGGATAGCGCACCCTTGACATAAAGTTCTACGAATTTTCTTTCGTGGTGCTATTTTTATATACTACAGGAAATTCTACTACCTTATAAGCGCACAACCTTGACATTTTGTCTGTAAGAAAATATGCTTGTACAATTTAGTAGTGATTTTTGATAAAATATAAAATTAAAAAACCGTAACAGTACACGGAAATTAATATTTTTGAAAAGCAAAATTACTAAATTCGAAGTGAAAATTAGTTTCGTATCAATTTTATTCACCCATGTGTAACAACTCTACTTTATGCAGAAGCAATTGCATATAGGCATCTACTAATCTTTCTATAGCGGCTGACTTCCGCTTTGTGTTAAACATCCTGATTCCTCATTATTCATTATGCTTTTCGTCATCAGCTTTATGCACTTGCATACCTTTAAATAAGTTGCGAGATTAATTTTACCAATTGAAATAGCTAAAAGTAGAAACTACAAAGCACTGACCAATAGTTAATTTATTTATTAGGGTTGTAATAAACCAATGAGTCATAACCACGAAACGTGAATCCGTTAATTAGGAGAAAGTACACAGTAATACACAACTGTATATTATTATAGGTGTAATTGCAAATGATGTACACACATTGATGAGCAATAACGAGACCAGGACAATGGTAATGTCGGGAGTCCACCAGGTAAGTTGATATAATCTATATGGATTAATCCATTTCATTATAATTGTAATTAAGCTTAAGGAGTGAGAAATTAGGAAAAATTGAGAAAAGCAAATCTGATCCTGTAATAGCAATATTAGTGCCCCCCCCCCAACACATAATTTGCGTTAATAATTTAAAGTTGTACCATACGTCCCTAATTAACTTTTTTATTAAGTATTTCACCGTGAAATATTGAAAAAAACAATAAATTCTTTACAAAAATTGTACTTCTAATTTAATTCTACAGGGGAGAATGGAAAAAAGGGCGGAAGAACTATTAGGGGAAGATCAATTTGGGTTTAGAAGAAATACAGAAATGCGGGAGACCATTCTAGCTTTACGGGTAACAACAGAGAAAACGATAGAAAAAAGAACAAAAACTGCATACATAGGATTTGTAGATTTAGAAAAAGCTTTTGACAATGTTAAATGGGCCAAGATGTAAAATATACTTAAAAATGGGGGGATGAGTTACAAAGATAGAAGAGTGATACTTAGTTTGTATAAAGATAAACAGGCAGTTACAGAGATGGGGCTGCAACGTAGAGAACTAAATATTAGGAAGGGAGTCAGACAGGGATGTACACTCCCACCGCTACTTTTTAATCTATACATCGAAGACGCGATTAACATCATTAAAGACAGTACAACTGTAGGTATAGATATACAGGGGCAAAAGATTAGTATGCTTAGATTTGCAGATGATATAGCAGTATTAGCATCTAGCAAGGAGGACCTAGAGATAGCTTTAAATAAAATGGAAGCGGTATTGACAAAACAGTATTGTATGAAAATAAACAAGAGTAAAACAAAAATAGTGGTATGCAAGGGAAGAAAAACTAGGGAAAGAGCGAATGTAAAGATAGGAGACGAAAAATATGAAGTAGTAGATTTTAGGTATCTAGGAATTCAGATATGTTACGACGGGAGGAGCAGTAGGGATATAAAGCAGAGGATAGCGCAGGATAGAGCCGCCTTCAATAAAAAGAAGTCACTTTTATGATCGCGAACGATTAATTTAGAAATTCGAAAAAGATTTTTAAAGGTGTATGTTTGGAGCGCGACCCTGTACGGGTGCGAAACAAGAACAGTGAGCGCGGCGGAAAAGAAAAAGTTAGAAGTGTTCGAAATGTGGTGTTACAGGCGAATGATGAGAAAACCATGAATACAGAAGGTTGGAAATGAAGAAGTATTAGAAAGAATAGGAGAACAGAGGACTCTATGGAAGTTAATAAGAAATAGGGGAGATAGGTTAGTTAGTAGAACACCTTCTCAGGCATGAAGGTTTAGTCATTCACATATTAGAAGCAAAAACGGAAGTTAGGAGGGGTAGAGGTAGACGTAGATTAAATTACTGTTCGCAAATAGTTAAGGATATAGGTTGTTCTAATTTTAGGGAAATGCAAAGATTAGCTCAAGATAGGAAAGCTCAAGAGTGGAGGTGCGTGTACAACCAGTCTTAGGACTGATGATGAGATGATGATGATGATGAGAAAATACCTTAAAAGCGCATTAATTTTCCGTTCACGTACCGAATTAAATAAAAAAATTATGATGATGATGATGATCAACAAACCAAATTCTTGTATAAAAATGTTAAAATCTTTTAATGTTCGTCAAAACAAATTTAAGTATAGTAGTTACCTGAATGGGTAGCTGACACAATTCTCTCGGTAAAGCTGTAAGTTGATTCCTACTTAAATCGAGGTAATTCAAAGACTGAAGACTACTAACTGTATCGGGAATATATTTGATGGCATTGTGGTAACACTGAAGCCTTTCCAAGAAAGAAAACGTCGTCACTTCTTCTGGAAGTTCGCTAAAACGATTCTTCGATAAATCTGAAATAGAAAAGAAAACACTAATTAATTAGGGATCATTAATGGAGCCAATCAATCGAAGTAAATAAACCAGGCAAATAGAAGATACTATAAATAACTACAAATCAATATAAACATATGTAGTCAATTTGAGCGAATTAAGTAAACGAATATATGTTGCAATCGGAAATTAAACTCAAAAGACACGTGAATCACCTACTTCACTATTATAGGCACTAAAACTAGATTGAGACATATACCTAAGCAGCCACCCCATAATTACTGTTTAAATAGAAATACCACAGGACGTTCCTTTATTCAATTTACGTTTTTCGTTTGACAAATAATAATGAAAGGGAATACAATTTTTTTCCTATGGTGAATTTAGTTCGGGCAAACAACAATAAACAATTGAACAAACTACTGTTAAATTCATTAGCATACAAAGAAACAACACGCGCTTAAATTAAACCTAACTATTGTATCGACTAAACGAAAATTCGTGGATGACACACGCAGTGGTTTATGAACTTAAAAACTTTTGGGTGTTTCATTCCTACTAGCTACTAATACTAGTCCAAATTATGTCGGAGGGTAGGACGGAAGACCCTCTTCAGGCGGGGAATGCGTGGGTGATGATTGGGGTAAGAAAAATGAGACGCAATATTACTGTCCCAGCATTTGCCTATGGTAACCACAGAAAAACTTGGACTAGGTTAGGCGCATATAGAATCAAACCGGTATCCTTCCAAATTATATGCGGTTTGTGAAAAAAAACTTGGGTGTTTCATTCCTACCAACCAGTAATGCTAATGTGCGGGCAGTCCCACCAGAGCACGCCAGAGGGTTGGGGCCGGAAGATTTTCTTCAGCCTTCTTTTAGGAATCGTGGGAATACGTGAGTGGTATTGAAGTAAGAATGATGAGACGGAAGAAATGAAGACAGAAGAAAGTGAAAGATTATCTGTGGAATGTGACTGTCCCAACATTTGCCTAAGGTAATCAGAGAAAAACTTAGAAGAGGCTAGACGCACGTGAAATCAAATCGCTATCCTCTCAAACGATATGCGGTTGTTGAAATAAAAACTTGGTTGTTCCATTCCCACCAGCTACTAATGCTGGTGTGTGGACAGTCCCTCTAGACTACGTCAGAGGGTTGAAGGATTTTATGTGGAATATTACTGCATCAACATTTGCCTAAGGAAACCACAGAAAAACTTGGAACAGGCTAGGCGTACGTGGAATCAAGCCGGTATCCTCCCAAAAGATATGCGGTTTCTGATAGAAAAAATTAGGATGTTTCATTCTCACCAGCTACTAATGCCGGTGGGCGGATAGTCCAGACTACGCAAAACGGTAGGGCGGAAGACCTTCTTTAGCATTTTTTAGGAATGATGGGAATATGTGAATGGCGATTAAGATGAGAATGAATAGACAGAAGACAATAAGACAATACCAAGAAAAAAGTGAAGGATTATATGTGGAATATTACTGCATCAACATTTGCCTAAGGAAACCACAGAAGAACTTGGACAATTTTGAATGATTGGGTCGGCAGGGACGCAAACAAACACTCCTTTGCACATACACAACTTTAAAGACAAATTCTTTTTTTTTTTAATTCAGAACTGCCACTTCCGTCAATATTTTTTGACTACAAAATAGAATGGCTACACAGTACCTACATATTATTTAATTTTTCAAACATCTAATGTTCATCCACTGAAGTGGAATTAATTAAATATGCACTACAGGGACGACGACTGCAAAATAACAATGACTTCATCCGTTGTCTATTCAATTGCTTTTTATGATATTTTAATCACCAGAATACCAATTACCTACGTGTACGCGATAGACCACTACTCTCTAAATTTCTATACAAATTCCACGGTTAGTAAATTTTAATCATAAAAACCAGCAATCGCCGTTTTGCTTTTTGATGAAGGCGAAACGTCGATTATGGGATATTTTTTATATCCAATTTGATAATAGTAATAAATAATACGTAACTAATTAAAAATGTTTTCATAAGTCATTATCACATTTAATTTGTTCTAGAACTTTTACATCTATTTGACAATAAAAAACATACTTTTCAACTTTTTTGCACGGCAAATTTAAGCAAAATACAGAAATCAAACCGAATAATGACAAATTTTTAATATACCTCCACTTTCAAAATATACCTGTTAAACTTCCGGTGTTCTTGCATTCTAAAAGCATCTGCTTCCGGTTCCATAAAATAATAACTAGTTGTGATTCAGAAGGTAAATTTTTTGAAACATCGTTAGTTAAAACCAAGCAGGAATATAAAATAATAATATTTTGGAATAAAAATTACATTACAGAATACAATGCAATACAATACATAATTTTAAAAACATTACATAATATTAAAAATTGTAGAAGTTCAATAAACTATAACAGTATAATTTTTGGTTTACTAATTTTATTTCATGGTCAGGTTTATTTTATTGCATAATTTACTTCGTAGTAATCGTTACTATAATTCTACGTTTTTATAGACTTATTTATTTGATTTTCACCAAATAAAGCAACCGATTCAGTTAAGGAATCTTGTGGAATTTTTTATGGTAATAATAATACTAAACATAAACATATACGCATAGATTTACACAATAACTAAATTATTGTACAAAATATAATCTAGACATCTAAGCAAACTGTCCTTGAAATGAGACAGAACTCATTTTATTTAAAATAGCGATATGTGCTTAAAAATTTTTTTAAAAAGAAGAAACAGACGCTTCTAGAAGTGAAATTATTGAGGTTTTCCTCAAACCATATACAAATAGCAACATTTGAACGTCCACACAAATCCCATATTTAATGCAGGTTCATTTTCTAGGTGTGCATATTTGTGTCGAGTTCTAATTTTGAAACACGTTAGAATGGAAAACGCGAAGAACGAGAGCATTATACACTCAGATGCAGAAATTCCAATTAAAATTAAGCATAGTTATTAAAAATAATGCCTACTACTGCTGTCGATTGGTCTTTTGACCCGAAATGCAAGAGCAATACTTAAAAGAAAATTAAAATAAAAAAATATAACTTTACATAAGTTTTGGGCAATTTTTTATGGGCTTTAAAATAAATGTAAATGACTCACAATCTAGATGCCATAGTAAACAAATAAGTGGGTACTTGCTAATGGTCATACTTATGACAGATATCAAATAATTTACATGTTGGAAATTTGTTCATAATTTTGTTGGACACATGCCGATGTGTAAAATTGTATACATTTCTGACAATCGTACAATTACAGAATACTAACATTGTATACCATGACTCAATTTGCCAAAAATCGGACATCCGAAGTTGCTGGCCCAAAAAGGGTACAAACAATGTTGGAGCATTAAGTCAAAAGTTCTCCAAAAGATTTAATGCTTTTCGTGACTATGAAAGATGGGTATTGAGACAAAAAGGCTTAAATTATCGTAAAAGAAGTTGCTAAATGATCACAATACAAAGAAGAGAAAATTTATTGTCATAATTTACGCAAAAATCATCTATCAAACAAGAAAGTAATCATAATAAATTACGAGAAATATTTTACAATCGTTCACTCTAAATTGAGAGGTAACTACTGTTTTAAACTGACAGGACAAAGTAGAAAATTGTCCAAATAATATTAAATTTAAAGCAAAAACTAAAGGTTTTACAGAACAAAATTTTAGTTGGATGTGCTATATCAGAAGGGGGAGTCTCTAGACCAGGTGTAATTTGCATAGTAATTTTAGGTGGGTCCGGTTGTTTTTGAAAATTTTCATCAAAGCCTAAAAAAACATAATTTTTGCCTCCACAAAATGGTAAGGGTGGCGCCCAAAGATTAAACAGATTTTGTTACCTACCGAAAAATATTTTTTAAATAATTTATTTGAGTAACTTTCCTTCAAAAACTTTTCGGCAGTCTGGATCTGGATCGCGGAATTATATTTGTGGACAACTTTTGTTGCTGACCTACAGATTGAATTAGTAGTACCTACTCTAGATTAGAATTTTGAGGGGGGTGCAGGTAGGGTCCCTAAGTGGGTAGCCACACTAGCTCTTGTGGACCCCATGAGGTGGCCCCTCTTAAGACCCATATGAAAAGCCATAAGGGTTCCTCATTTTAGTATCATCACTTTTTTTTATTGGGATTTTCATGAGGAATCTATGGGGAAATCCCTACATCGGCATGGACTTCATTCGCCACATGAGTCCCACACACTACATGGGGCATGCCCCCTATAAATTCCAGTCGGGTTATATCCCTACTACAGAGCATTAATGCATAATGCATGCATTACCTTCTGAAACTTCACTCCACAAAAGCATTTTAAAAATGTTAATAGCTAACTAAATGTGTCGATTTTCATTTAGGATCTTCTTTATCCTCTGTGTCTCTAATTAATCATGGGATTTCGAAAAAATCCAGACTTTCAGTCACTTAATACAATTTATGTGTGCAAGAAACATTTTTAAACAGAAGTGCCGTATTCTGCACCCTGTGCATGATATTTTACCACCATTCATAATGTAGTTTTCTGAATATTTTTGATGTGTATTACTTGACATGATGAAATTGAGTAATTTCATGCGACGGAAACTCGTTACAGGAAGTAGAAAATGAGAGAAGTAGGCGCTATTTAATTTTCAATCGATGGTGACTCTAGTTGGAGCTTGAAGAGTGATAGAAAAAAGAGAGAAAGAATACAGCTCTAATTCGTCCTGCTAAGGCTAACTGCTAACTTTAATGAGTACTACATATTTTGAAAACACATTAAATTAGGTATTCAACCAGCTTTGCACTTAGCTTCTATTAGAAAAAATGTATCTACTACCTACTACATGAAACACATTGAAATTCCTAGTGGTTAATATTAAATATTAATTTGATTTTATCCACTATAAGTTACCTCAAATAAATACCTATTATCTGTTTATCCATATTAAACAATGTTCTAAGACGTCATAGCATAAAAGCTTTTTAAAACTGTAATCGGTAGCTAA